TGACTTTAGCCAGAAGTTCACAGTACATGGATGTCTACAATTACCCTTGGATCTCCATGCCCCTAGACACAGAAACCTCAGTGCCAGTCTCCATTTATTGCTTTATTGTAGATGACCTAAGTAGGATCCAATGTTTGTCATTACATCATACATAAAACAACATTCATGCCAATGATAAAATGGTTGCATGAAAGACACAAGGTAAACTGGGTAGCAGTGTTTTACTTATTATCAAAAGGTCTTGTCTAGTGAGTGAATCTGTAGAGCTTTAAATATTCTGAAGTGCACTTTCATGTGATGTAAATAGAATGCAATATCAGCTTTGTGGCATCTGTATTAAGCATTTGGTAGGCATAAGAACACTATAGAAAAATATTTCAGGAAGTGTAGTATCATGTAGACCATACATGGAAAGACAAGGACTGTACTCGATTCTATGACCCTTAACATGTCTTTCAGTACACTTTTTTGTTGTTGTTTCCTTGGTACCGGGGATCAAACTCTGGACCTTGCGCTTTTGAGGCAGGTAGTGGAACCACTGAACTAAATCCAAGGCCCTCTCAGTACACTTTTTACTGAAGCATTTGTCTGTAATTCCACCTTCCTCTGCTCCTATTTGTTCTTTCACAATCTGAGGTCTCATGACTCTTGAGTCGCTCCTTTGTGGTCTGGCCTTTCTCTCTTTCTCCATTTTTCCCAGAGAAAAATCATTTGCTGTTTGATTTTATCATGTCCACAGTTTAGTCCTGCAGGGGATCACAATACTGATTATTCCCAAAGCATGCTGTAAGCAGTCCAGGCTGCAAACAGTTAAACCCCTCAAATTGGTTTATTTCAAGAATCGAGTCTGACTGAAGCTCACATGACTTATGGAAGCACCTCACAAGCACTGTGGTAGTGCATAGGTTAGCATGACCTACCCGCTAACTGCCACTGCTGAAACCAGAGTAATGAATGGTCTGTGAAGCAGTGGGGCTCAATGTGAGATAACAGTGGCTGATGTTGGAGTAGCTCACACCCAAATTCCATTCTCACAACTAAAACCTTTTTGACTAGAAGGACAAAGATTTAATTATGACTCTATATTTTGTCTATTCTGTCCTAATTTGAGAATGCTTTGTCTTTTCCCTTTACAAGCCTTGCCTCCATTAGAATCCATAGAAACTGCATGACTGCATGTCCTCACATGTAGTCCTTTCCAAGCACATAGTTCTCCTTTATTCCAATTGAATTATCAAAAAGATTAGTGGCTTGGACTGACCAGGGCCTTTTTATAATTGAGCAGCATTGGCCATCCTGGCTCCCCACTTTTCTCTTTAATTCTGTCTTTGAGTCTTTCCTTAGCCTTCAGTCATACACTGGACGGGAGACTGAAAACTACTGCAGAGGTTTCCAGTATAATCCCACCTTCATTATGGCCCCTATTATGAGGTACCTTGGTCTATGTTTACCTGCCTTTCCATTAAAATATTAAAAAGTAAGGAAATAATCTGGCTCATTTCTATCACCCACAAAAGCTTTCTAAGGTCCTAGCACAGTAAGTATTGCAGAATAAATGCTTGAGTGCTGTATCAAAGTTAATAGGAATATACAGTACTGGGGAGAAAAATAGTTTCATTTGACATAGCAATGACATAATACATGCCACATGGCCTAAATATAGTCTTTCTTGATCTGTTCACATCCTGAATATTTTACAATATGAAAACTGAGGCCCTACAAAAATGTCACTGTCCAAATGCACAAAGTCTCCAGATTCATGCTGATGTCCATGATAAGGAGATTATGGCACATAGTCAAGAAAAACACTACACAATCAGAGGTGCTGTCAAGAAGGAGGCAAGGACTGCTTTTCTGTTAAGGCATCTGTATCTGATCATTTCCTCTTAATGAACCTCAGTTTTTCTTACTGTTATGTGAGGTTGACCAAATGATTGCTATCACATATGAGATGATATTAGGCCTTTTTTTTTCTTTTGGATTTTAAGTGTCCAAAAAGCCAGACTCCTGTTTTGATGAGAAAAGATAAGCTGTGTCACAGCTGAGAGCTGGGGAAGTTCTTTCACAAGTCTAATGTTGTCTGTCTCTTTTCCCAGAAGGAGAAACCAGAAAAAGCAACAATAAACTGATTTTGAAGGTTGTGTGTAGATTCTACATCAATAACAAGTCATTACATTTTCTATTTCATGGACAAAAAGAATTAAGTGTGTAAGGAACCTCCATGATATCCCCTAATACCCAAAAACACTTTATACCTGAAGCTAAGCCCTTGGTGCTTTTGGTGTCTGGCTTTTGTGCACCTGGATTATCAATAAAATATGAGCTCATAGAGACATCCCTTTTATTGACTAACAAATTGCAACTCTCTCTCTCAGGCCTTTGACAGATTTTTGCTGATGTAAGGAAACATACATAAGGCATATTCTGTTTCACCAAAAACTTATTAGCAGAGCAGTATAAAACTATCTGAAATTTAGGAGAATTAAAGTAAAATCCCCCTTTTTGTACCTAGAATTTGCTGTCAACCTGAATGATGCTGAAAGATTTTACAAGGGTTTTATTGGCACAAGAGGTATAAGTTTCTTTGAGCCTTCCTGCTCCTTCATGGTCTACAATATTTAATGAAGCCCGCTCTCCATGCTCATCAAACCCACATTCCTTTGCTTGAAACTGCTTTCTCTGCTATCGATGTTGTATTTAACATTACCTGGGAAATTCCTTTGTGTAATTCAAGCACTTCCAAATAAAATGCCACCTCTTTCATTGAAGTGGTTAGTTTCACTCTCCTTTCTTTCACGTTCTCACAGCATCTTGTCCTGTTTTCCCATAATGTCACCACTGTGAGTTTTATGCTCATTTGTTTTGGAAATATTGTACCTGCTGAGAAATAGCAATGACTAAGAACAAAGCTCCTCTCTGCTGTCAGCTTGTCATGGCTCTGATTGAGAAATTCTCCTACATTGAGCATGAAAGCGTGGAATAAAGTGTGATAAGATAAGCCGGGTGTCCAGAGGTATTTGGTAATGTTGAAAAACCATGCCAAGGAATGAGAGGAGGTATCTAGAAGTGGTAATGTTTAAATGAGACCTGAAGCATGTGTATTTATGATTCGTGTGAAGTAGTGACATGGAGAATTAATTTCCAGATAGAAGAGATAGCATGTGAATATTTGGATACATGCAGATGCAACTGTCATGATGTTACATTGTTTTAGCACATTCGGGGTTATTAGGATGTTCCAGAAAGCATTGTCATATACATCTTCACATTCTTGTGGATATTTTTCATGGGTTCTTCTGACTCAAAACCTTCAAGTGAAATTGGTAGTTAATAAAGTAGGCCTCCAAAGGCTTGCGAAATACTGTCGATATGAGTCCAAGAGGACTCATATGTAACTCATATGTAACAAGAGGTTTGTTTGAAGCATGAGTTCATGGCCAGATGTCTGTTTGAATTGTTAGTGTTTCCTGTATGGAAGAGAATGGATTATGGAGGGAAAACATGGTTCTGATATGCAAAGAGATGCTGGAGTCAGACTGATATATGTACACAGGAAGAAATCTATGAAGAGCAGTCACTCTTGTGAGTAGTTTTCTGAATAAAGAATTGATACATTTGGAACTTTATTTAGAACAAACACTCAATATAAATCCTATTATGTTTTGTTGTTGTTGTAGTTGTTGTTACAAGGGAAAATACTTGCCATAGAGAATTTAAGAAGCAAAGGTTTATTTAGTCATATTGTTTCAGATATTGCAGTCTGGATTTGACTTCTTTCAATACAGAAACATCATGGCAAATACACGTAAAGAAAAAGTGAAACTAACTTATGAGAGCCAAGAACCAGACAGAGTAGGGAAGGAGCCTCAGAGGCGGGTCCAGGAGCCAGATTTGGTCCATCAGGTCACACTACCATGACTCAACCAGACATACCTAGAAGTGTGCTTTACAAATATCCTGTACATCTCTCTAGCCAACCAATTGTAAACAAGAGTATCACTTGACTCCACATAGTATTTTCCTTCTAGGAATATTTTTGTTGAATGGTGGAGAATTTCAGCCTGTGAGGAAGAAGTTACTAGGCATTCACAGCTTACAGTCTGAAATCCTTATGTTTCTCTGTCTTGTCACTGGATAGTGACCAAGTGGACCAAGTGTGGGGCTCCATTTCAGCATTTATTCTGGTCCTCATGCCTGCCTCTATATTTGTTTTCAGAATTCAGGGGTTTTTTTTTATGACCCTGGATGAAGTATGAAACTTGTCTAAGGGAGTTAGAATGTTTGGCTTTCTTTCATCTTTTCTCTTTTGCAGAATATTGCTATAATTTAGCTCTAATTTTTTATTTACACAATAATTGTGTTCCTTTTGGGGAGCATATATTCATTTTCTTGGCTAAAAATGAATAGATGGAGAGAGATAGTGTGAAAATCTTGACAGTGAAGCTTGCTGCCTCATTCCCAAATATTGACCTCTCAAACAGCCTGCCTTGCGCCGGGGATTTAGCTCAGTGGTTTCGCCGCCTGCTGTACAAGTGTAAGAACCTGAGTTTGATGCCCGGATCCAAAAAAAAAAACAGCCTGCCTTCCCTCTATTCCATTATGTCCTGTCCTGGACTGGACTCGGGATGTTTTCTAACATTAGGAGATTGATTGTTCCCTAGGACGGTGACCCTGGAACCTTCTGAATATATTTGTGACCCATTTCACGAAGAAACCACTGAGTTCTTTAAGAAAACGGGGTCAAATCTGAAAAAGCCAGTAGTAAAGCCCTTAAATGCAAGTATCCCTCGGGTGAGGCGAGGTCAGCATCACGGAGGACAGCCTGGTCCAGAAGTCTCTTGGTTACAGTCTTTCATTTGGGCTCCACTCTTGCAGATAGGGGTTTGTTTTTCTTGTCACTCTTGGCTCAGAGGGAGGGCGACGGAACAGGCGTCAATCTGCATTGAAGAGGCGGGCTGTATGAACTGTCCAATCAGGTGGACCAAGATAGGAGGGTTCTTCCGGTGTCGTGGCGCAAAAGTGCGTGTCCACAGCGCCCTGCTAGTAGCCCCCATAGAAGACGGCCTTTTGTGACTTCTGCTGGTTGCAGGCTGCTTGGAAAGGACTCTGGGAGACCCTGAGTCACGCAATGGTGATGTTGTGGGGCTGAGGCTGGGGATGGGATGGAGTTGGGTGGGGTCTGAAACAAAGTCCCCAGAAGCAGCTCTGGGGAACCACAGCCTACCTGCTTGGCTCCAGACTCAAGAGGTCCTCCTGGTCTTTGGTGCTTTTTGTCCCTTTTTCCATTTGCTAGGTCAGGGTTAGTTCAGGGTTTCCTGCGTCCTGTCCCCACTGTGACACTGCCAGACCATAGTGCTGTCTTGATTGGCCCCAGGCACAGCCTCATCTACACCTCATCTACAGTCTGGGAAGATCGGGGAGGGGGGTCGCTGATTTAGGTGTGGGTTAGAGCTGGGTACAGCTATGGTGTGCTAGGTCCCTAGTCGCACTCCATTTAATAGCAGACCTGGAGGATCTGACATTTATAAATGTGTGCAATGCAGGGTCTTCCATCCACAACTCATCTCAGGCCCCTGCCTTTTTGTATTCACAGTGAAATTTTCCAGTATTTCCCCACGTTGCCAGACTCATAATAGGTGTTGATAAGGGCCATGAGAATCCAAAGAAGGTTTAACATTACAGGCGATGTGACTCAGCTATAGTGCTTGCAAGCACGCAGTGAACTCCTGTGTTCCATGCTCAGCAACCCAAAAAATTATCACCTTAATTACTTATGTCACACCTTTACTCACAATGATCAAGAAAAGAGATTGTAGTCTCACAATATTGTGGAATGAGGTCTTAAACCAAAAGGAAGATGTTAGGAGAGTTTTTATTGGAAATAAGAAAGCTCCCTGAGTCCTTGGAAACATCCTGAGTGCACCCACTCAGGTGGCCAGGTGACTATATTTCCCCAAACACAGATCAAGGCAAGTGTTTTGAGCAGGTTTAAAGGATCCAAGGCTTGATGATGATTTTTGATTGATCAGGTATTTTCTATGCATTTCAGTACATTTTATTTTCAACTTTCTTTAGATAGATCACGATATTTTCTCTTTGAAACTCAGATAGTATCTGTAGACTCATTCTTTCAACTCTTCAAAAGTAGTTTTAGAACATGACATTCACCAGATTGTTTCCTGTTTTGAATGCTGTATTAATCAGGTTCTCCAGAGAAAACCAACCAGGGGAAGGCTATGAGTACTGTTTGAAAAAGAGAAGACTATTGGGTTTTCTTGGCGTTTGTGTGTGTGTGTGTGTGTGTGTGTGTGTGGTATTATAAAGAGGACCTACACTCTGGTCATATTCTCTGGCTTATTTCACTATGACAATGGGATAGGATAAAACTTTTCAGTGAAGACACAGGATTGAACAGTTAGAACACAAGACATCAAGCTTGTGCAAGGCTAAAAAGAAAGCATTTCTAGTTCTAGTTCTAACTTGGGTCAACTTCTGCCTTTGTATTCTGGGTTGCTCACTGCTAAAACCCCACTTTCTTCAGTGACTCTAATGGACTGCAGACGAATCTGATCAAAGACTCTTTCCACTTTGTAGTGATTTATATCTTTCTGGGGAAAGAGATGACCCTGAGCCTTTGTTATGTGTTCCGTAAGTGACAAGAGAGTGCAATCCCTAAAATCCCCCTAAGTGTCTCCTGGGTTCCCCAAACTCTGAAGACAGAACTTCCATGTTGGTGTCCTGGAGAAGCCCATGGAAATGGCCTATAGAGAAAGGCACAGTTGAGATAAAGCATAGAGCTTCAGTTCAAGTCATCCCTTAGTCTATCCTCTACATCTCCCAGTGGGTATCATCATAGACCATCAAGCAGTAGAGCCTGTTTTGGCTTTTCACACTAGTGACATCTGAAAAGTATTTTAGGTGGTGGAAACAAGGAGACACTATACAACAAGAGACAGAGAATACTTTGGGGTAGTGTCATTCATTCTGCTTGGGTTTGAGATGCAGAGAATTTTGGCAGCTCTTACAATCTTTGTTTGCCCATTCTGGGTATCTCGTCATTAGGGAACTTAAATGTCCACAGCACCTGCTTAGTCAGTGGTTTTCAGGCATTGGTGATTGTGCACATCAGAAAACATGTGAAGATATGTCAACTTTTTTGTTATAGTCATGGTGTAGACCATGAGCAGGAATTTATAGGATGGGTAGAGGTCAAGGAGATGTTGATCTGTGTTGCATAACACAAAAGACAGCCCTCAAAAGAATGAAATACTGAACCCAAATATCACTAGTGCTCTGATTGACAGCCCTGTTGTAGGTCTGTCTTCTTTCCACACTTGTGACCCTGCTCAATACTACTGGATTGTACCCCATATCTTCATATACATTATTTATGCTGGCTATAGACCCTAGAGACTGATGAGTATGTACATTTGCTCTACCACTGAGCAATCATATACATCAACCTCTTGTACGTTTAGGTTTGGTGTGCCCAAAAGGGAGTATGTTAGAGAGTTCATCCATTATTTTATTTAATTCACTCAATATTATGCTCCAGATTTATTTCCATTGCTATACATGTAACTCCTGGCAGGGTCTCCACCGTTTGTCTCCATAGCATCTTGTTTGGCTTTCCATTTATGGGAAGGTAGGCTTGTGTAGTTCTGTCACTGGTGTAAATGTCCAAGGCATATTCTTTTGCTGCCCTAGAAGCAGATTTGAGAAAATGCAATGGATGCTCAGGGCACAGGAGCCTATTTGCTGGTGCATAGAGTATGCATCCATTTAAATCTTAATGTACACCATCCACACTACACCCACCAGTGGGCTATAGTTCCTATTTTTTGTAGCCAACTAACATTAAGCTTTTTCGAATTTGATGAGTTTCATGGATTTATAGGAAAATTTAATGAAGCCTTTTCCTTTTTATCAGTATTTCATGCTTTCTTTTTTCTTTTCCTGTGTAAGCCCTTCTATAAAATATCTACTTATATTTTATACTCACATTTGTGATAAAGAATTTTTTTGATAAAATCTTTTAGTTCTAGGTATTTCTTTGTCACCTGTAGAGAATGAATATTCCTTCTCATAATTTATCCATCTGCATATTAATTTCATGAAATGTTTTCTTTCTTGAACTTAAACCAAACCCTAAGGTACTTTTTGTGCCTTCAAAGTCACCTTACCATTTGTGGCTTTACAGTATTATTTATGAAGATTTCCTCACTCCTGGGTCTTTCTTTCTCTTTCTTTCTTTCCTTTCTTTCTTTCTTTTTTTGAGACAGGATCCAGCTATCTAGTTCAGGCTGGCCCTGAACTCACTAGGTAGCCCATGCTGGCCATAAATCTCATGGCAGTTCTCCTGTCTTAGCCTCCTGAGTTCTGGGATTACTGGTATGCATAACCATGGTTGACATAGATTTTTCTTATACAGTGCTTTCTCCCATATAGTACTTTCATATTTTATGTATTTTTTAATCTACCTAGAGTGCACATTTGAATGTTTGTGACACAAAAATCAGATTCACTTGGCATATAAAATGAGCAATTTACCATCATAAAGGAATGATGAATCACATCTTACATTTGATTTGTACTGCCAGCCTTATCAAATCTCAGTTTGTTTAAAGCAAATTATTTCTGCATACTTATAAATTTAATGTATCTATGTGTTCTTTGAGTTTCAGGTTTAAGTGACTGTGTAGCACGTTCCTAATAATGAGAAGGGTATCTCTTCTTTAAATTTTGATTTGAGATTTGAAAAATACAACACTGTTCTTTGTTTTTCAGAAGAAATTCTAGTTGATGTTTGTTAAATTTTGAGCTGTTTTACTGGTATTATAAATATAATTGTATTGCCAGGCGTGGTGGCTCATGCCTGTAATCCTAGAGCCCGAGAGGCAGAGGCAGGAGGATTGCCATAAGTTCAAGGCCAGCCTGAGCTACATAATGAGTTCAAGGCCAGCCTGAATTACAAAGTGAGACCCTGTCTCCAAAAATAAATAAATACATAAATAAATATAGTTGTATTAAGCTTATTTAAAAATTTGTAACATATTGCATCCTCAAATCTGAGTCTTTTGTTATTCTCCTGATACTCAGATCTTCTCCAATTTTATTTGTATATATGATTTTTCTCTTTAAAGATCTTGTAGACTTTTAAAGAATTTGTTGATATAGTATACAATGATTTTTAAAGGATTTTAAAATTTGGTAGAGTGATAGATCATTTCTAGGTTTCCATAATGTGAGAGGCATATTCATTAACAAAACAACATATTGGCAGAGACTGAGTGAGGAGGCAGATGAGAACATCTAGTTGACTCTTTTCAAGGTAGATTTCAGAGTATTTGCAAAAATTAAACAAGTTCAATTTTTTAATTAAATGTATTTTTGACAATGTAGGTTTTTTCCTACAGTGTTCATTATAGCCACATGGCATAAGGACATTCTTGTACTTCGGATTCTATTAATAACAATTTTTTTCTATTTTCACTGATAATCAGCTAAACACTGTCCTTAACAGCTTTTTAGATTTCTCTGTAGGCTTTTTGTGTAATGACCTTCAGATCAAAATGTTTGAGTTTTACTTACGTATAATTTGTGTTCTGATTGTGTATCATGTAGTATCAATGAGTTTCAATGAGTATTAAAACTGAGAAACTGACTTCTTTGCAGTTGATCTTGGCTTTGGCAACATAGTCTTCCTGTTATTCTCAAATTTTATATCTTGATTCTTTCTTCACTCATGCATAGAGATTTTATCTCTTTTATTTCAATCCTTTTGTCACTTTCTGTCTGTCTTGCCTGCCTATCCTAAGGCATTACATAGATTTTTGTTTCATTTGACAGAATAGTGGAGACAGTGAATATCTTTGACTTATTTCTGATTTTGAAATAATTCATGTACTGCATCTCCATTCATTGTAACATTCACTAGTTTTATGGTATATGTGCATTATCAGGTTATTAATCACATTGTGGTGTTTTTCTTCATTAAATGCTTTTAAGAAATAACAAAGATTGAGTTTGAGAAAATATTTTTGTCAAAATCCAAATAATCAGATCAGTTATTTGTTGTTTTGTGGTGAGCTTCACCAGAGTTTAATGATACAGAACCATCTTTTGATAAGA